ACATCACAGTACTGACATATAAAAAATTACTTCGGACACAAGTATTTATCAAATATTTTATAAGTACTTTTAGCGCTTAAAAGTACTTTTTTTTTTTAATATAAATGCACCGTAACCTCATACGGGTCTTAAAAACATTATGAAATAAAACTCTGTGTTATACACTAAAATTTTTCTTTATTTAGTTTTGTTAAATAAAAGCATTTCATTAAATATAATCTGAAAATGATTATATATGGTGGAAGGGACATAGAACTTTACCTTTTAAAATTTGAGAAAGTTCCAACGATACTTAAAGTAATGAAAATTGTAAATTGGCTTTTTATTTAGTTTCAAATTACCAAGATCTCCTTTTTTTTTGTCCATCATTATTTATATTTTATACCATAATAATGGTCCTTTTAAAGTACCAAAGAACATCAATATTTTCGCAATAAAGACATGTGGTGTGCCAAGAAATATATCAAATCGCTGCCTTTTTTGAAGTCTGAAACATTTCAAAGACATTATATAATTTGACAGACAACTAGCCGTCAGAATATTGACAATCCTACCTTTTTTTAGCCTATTTTGAATTCACAATCCTAAATAGGCAAACCAAATTTCTTAAAAAATCAGAAACGTTACGAAACATTAGTCGTTAAATAGCTGCCTGACTATCCCAACTTTTTCCAAACAAAATTCTTTAAAGGATGATTTATAAAATGATGATCACATATCACATTTTTATGCAACAATATTTATTGTTAATACAAAATTTAAAACCTTTACTAATTACTAGGATTGAAAAAAAAAAAAAAAAAAAAGGGACACATACGTTAAGTGTATCCCTATCTTCTGGCTTTTTACTTCTCGTTGTCGGAAAGGTACCCCTTTAAGAATAAAAATGAAGGATTAGTGTACATTTGAAGTTTAGAGTAGAGGAAGAATTGCAATTTTAGTGTCCAATGTTGCCAAATTGGTTCTCAATGTTTCGGTCAATATAAATCTAGTTCGCAATAAATTATTGTTTCTTGTCACGAGTCTTGTTTGAAAAGCCATTTTTTTTCAACAAATTTCTACTATTTGCGTGAATATATTTGTTAATTATCTTTTTATTTCACATATATCAAACAGTTCCAATACATTTTTATATTAAAAAAAACTTCAAAAAATAACAATCCAAACGGGAAGTTAAATTTGTTTTGATTAAAATATTAGGGATCAATTTGACACACAGGCCAAACATTAGTGATCAGAATTGCAATTCTCCCTAGAATCAAAGAATTCTTCTAAGATTAAAACAAGTCAAAAAGAAAGCCAAGGAAAGTTGGGAAATGAGGCAAGAGTAAAGCATGCCATCACTTTTGTTGCAAGTGTAATATAAAGGCTGATGCATTGATGCAAAGACACCAACTCAAGAACAAACCTGTAATTTATTATTAATTTAAAAAAAAACCAGTGATTTGTTAAGAGGGAAAAAAACGACAATAAACTAACTTGTTGACCCGCCTACTGACTAATATGGAATATTAAATGCAGAAAAACTTGTTTTGAGTTGATTATGACTAATGGGTTTATCTCTCACAAAATTCCACAAGATAAGACAGAAATCTACCGAGTTAATAAATTTGAAATTAAATATTTCATTAAAAAAATAAAAAAGAAAAAAGAGCTCATAGATTGAGATGAGAATAAGCTGCTTTGGAGCTTCAAGCAAAACTCCACGCATCCGGAGGGGTTTCACATTTTCATCCTGAAAAGGGTTTTTCTTCTTTCCCTCTCTCTCCATTTTTTTTTTTTTTTGGGTGTAAGAAGTTCCGAACTCCCTCCCCTTAGGCCTTACCACCCAATTCATCATGAGAAAGTGAGCTTTTTGGATGCAAATTTGGGAGACTCCAGCAGAAAGCCTCAATTGGCTGGGACCACAAGAGCTACAAGAGCTAGTAAAGGCAACGTACAAAGCCTTAGGAACAAGAAGTAATTCGGCAGCTTGTGGCCAATTGGTGGGGACCGCGCAGAGGCTCAAAACAAGGAGATGAATTCGGCAGCTTGTGTCCAATTGGTGGGGACCACTGGATATCTTTCCTTTGGCTTTAAATAGGGAGCTAACGTACAGAGGCGAGGGACCGCTTTTAGTTTAGCTTTTTAGCCTAGTCTTTAGTTTAGTTTTTTTCTTTCTTTTCCTTGGACTGGCCTCTGACACACGCCAGGTGCTTGACAATATTCCCCAACGGGGAAAACCTCCTTCATTCCTTATTTCTTAGTACAAAACGATGCCTTCGCAATTTATTAACTCGTGTGGTGATTTAATTATGCGGCGTGGCTAAGTCTTTCATCTAGTCAAGGGTCAACTCGACGGCGCAGTCCCGAAAATCTGTGAGATCTAATTAGTTTTCACGTGTTCCTTTATCTATTAATATTTGCATGTTGTCTGATTTAATTTTCATGGGATTATTTTATTAATTGGATGTCAAGGGCCCGATGTTCAACTTGATTTATTAATCTCGTGCCAATTTAGTCAATTAAATCCGTAATTGTTTGATTGATTAATATTAGTGGCAACTGGTGTGTTTACACATTAGAGGAATGTGCAATCTAATTTAAATAACCCTCGTAGCGTGTTATTGATTAGGGCTAGGTTTTTCTGGTTATTAATGCAATTAGAAAATTAATTCCTACGGTCGTACCTAGGAGTACTTTTCTGGTTAGGGGTGATTAATGGTCGTACCTTGGTCACCTATAACTTAAGGAAAAATTGGTTGTCAGACTATAACTAGCCTATTAATACATTAAGTGAACCTCTCCTGCATCAATGATCGGATAAATGGACTGTGCCTGAGTAGTTGTATCCTTGACTAGAATTTATTTATTCCTGATTAAATTCCTGCTATATTTGCGCTAGTTATTTATTCATTTTTAGTTAAATTGTTTAATTGTTTTTAGTTGCATTCCGGTGAAATCCCCCTTTATCAATTGGACTTTGAAAGAGACAGATATCTCCAGTCCCTGAGGAGACGACCCTACTTGCCACTGTCTACTATTTAGTAATTTTTGTCAATTAATGAATTCTGGTATATCGGGTTAAGCAAACTCTTCGGGAATAGGGTGAATCAAGTAACCCATTGCACACCTAGAGTCCCTGCTCCAGTACCTAGGATTAATTATTGACTGCTTTTGGTGGTAGCTAGGTTCTATTTTTATTATTATTATTGCACAGGCTGACGACCTGTCACAAGGTCTTAATCTCGAGTATTAACAAAACAGAATAGTTGTTGGCCAATATACTTCCTTTGGGCCTGTATATCCCATTGTTGCTTTCAAAATCTCTTCAGAAACCTCTCAACTATGTCCATTATAAGTCTGGGTTACAGATGTAGGCTAGAGCTAATTATTAGCCCAAAGCCAACTCCGCAGGTTCCATATGCAGGCCCAAAGCTAATTACTTCCTCCGTCCCAAATTATTTGTCGCATTTCGGGATTTTAACTTATTAAGAATAATAGTTTGATGGCAATGTTAGTAGATTTGTTTTTAAAGTTGCTTTCAAGAATTTAAAATTCAAATTTCAATTTAGTATGAAATATAGATAAAGATGGGGACAATCTTGAAAAAAGAGATAAAAAATAACTTTGACTTTGGTAAAATAACAAACCATAGTTACAAATTTCGGCTAGACCTGACGGTTCAACCGTTCAAACTGGTGAATCGGCCACCTAATTGGATTGGTTTTCAAGTTAGACCGGATAAGTAATAAATCCATTGACCAGTGAACAACCCAGCGGTTCAACCGTTCAAATCAGAAAAAAAATTGTTGATTGAACCTTCAAATTAAAAATTATAATATTTTTATAATTCAAAATGTATTATTATACTATGTAATGCACTTAGTAGTTGAATTGGCCAACCCACGATTGGACTAGTAACCTGTTGAATCGGTCAGCTCTTTGGACTGAGGTCCTAGTTGAGTTTTCTAATGATGTGGCAAACATTTTGGGACATTCCACAATGAAAAACATGACATTCCCAATGGAATTGTGGGAGTATTTTATTTATATATTTATTCATTTTTTGGAAGAGGGCTTTAAAATTATACGGTAGCACTTTTTGTAATGTGATACATATAAGATAAAAAAATAATTAAAAATTATGTTTATGATACAAGCCGAATAATATTTGAATTCTTTTGTTTCAAATAATACTAACCAAACGGATCCAAAAAGCTCTAGATGTTCCTTAAAATTCTTGCTCCCATCGAACCCTTTCTATCTATAAACGCATCAGGGGAGAAAGTATAGCAAGCAAGTAGACAGGACCTGCTAATTTTCCAACGACAGTCCTCAACACGTCGCTGTTTCTTTTGGCCTACGCATGAAAAAAATATCTAGCATTTCAAGTTATATTAACCTCCAATATGGTTTTCACAATTTTTTTAAAGATTAAGATAAGAGATAAATTTCAAGTTAAAATTTTCAGTAATAGGTACGATTAACTTTTTTAACTTTATGCCTTGTTTAGAAAGGGATTTTTTACAAAAAAAAAAAAAAAAAAAAAAATCTCTACGTTTTTTGTGAACACATTTTTCAATCATCTTCTTATCTTATATATATCAAATCGCTACGGTATATGTTCTACAAAAACTTCAGAAAATTGCAATCTAAACACAACCTTGCTGTTTTTTCATGGTACTAAATATATAGTACTTTCCTTTTGTGGGCAAAATAGAAAACATAAATGGTCTCAGATACACCAGAGTCATAACTTTAATCCAAATTCAAACATAGATTATTGTTTTTCCCAGAATCCAAATTTTATCATGAATTCTCATCTGGCTATTTATATGGCTTTTTATCGGTCTATAATTAACACAAAGACGTTTGGACAAACAAGATTTGAAGTAAAATAATTTATTTTACAAATTTCAATCACTTTTTTATCTTACATACATCATATCGTAAAAAGTGCTACAGTAATTATCTCAAATAAATCATCCAAATAAACTCTTATCCAAACAAACTTGAAGGTGACTCGGAATGCACTGACAAACTCAAATTCCAAATGCGGTCCACTGATTCCGAAGTTTCGACTTTGAAGTCAGATATTATTATAAATATATTTTGTTCAAAAGAAATTATTATGAAGAATCGCAGTCAGTAGACTGGGAAAGTCGTCTTGTGCTTATGAATGCTTTAGAAAAGCAAGAAGGTCAAACTCTGACCAATTTCATTCGGATTATCTAGTTCTGTGATAGGGATACACATTTTCGTAAGCATTGTCCAAAAATGCGTGTGAAAACTTTAGATTCTGCTGCGGTTTTGTCCTTTTTCTGTCCCTATCCTCGTTTTTCCAGTTTCTATGTATGGCGTGATAAGGAGCCTGTGTCTATAAAAGTCAATTTTTGCAGTAGATAAGATGAGTAGTCTGAAAGACTTGTGGAAGTGCTGATTCCAACGAAGACAGAGCTTAAGTGTGTACCAAGAGATGGTCAGAGGACTCAAGGCAGGAGGAGGAGGAGGAGGAGGAATCTGGGACGGACAAAACTTTGGGGGCTTAGGAAGTGTAGTTTGGGTTTTGTGGGTGGCGTTCCTCAGTTCGTCTTTCATCTTAGCCGTTATCCTCTCCTGTGGAGGTGGTGCAACCAGAGACAAGGCTTCTTCTGCTACCCAAACTGATGCCCGCGGGGCTGCATGTGGTGCAGGTTGCAGCGCTGCATGTGGTGGTTGATCACCGTGCTGCTCTCTGACTTCTTATCACCTACCTGATCTGCTGATTCTTTTCAGTTGTGAATCGGGAGAAAAACCAAACTAGAGATGACGAAAAACAAAGGGTATGAAACTAAACTAAAGTAGTAATCGATTCCTCCTTTTTTTTTTTTTCTCTTTTTTGTTTGTTAGGGGTACAAATTGTTCGGTTTTGCAGTTCAGGAGTTGTAATAACAGCCTACTATCAATAGATGTCAAAAGATAGACAACAATTCACCCGGAGGTGCAGCCACAGTTAAGTGGCAAGTTTGGTGGGAGGCAAGGATTTTTCAACAGCCTCTTGGCTGTTGGCCTCTATTTTAGTATTTGAAAGCTCTATTTTAATGGCGTTCTGATTGTACATCAGCGAATTGGGTCTTACTAAACAGGCATAAGGCATATCATAGGCAGTTCCCATGTTTGAACTTTGACCTGGAATAAGAACTCAACAGGCCAAGAGACATTTCCCAAACACCACCATGGATCTTGCATACAAGTACAGAACGTAAGACTTGAGTTTACAAGGATTCTTCTCAGCTGTAAATTTCTTTAGGTGTTAATTCTATTACTTTCCTACTCTTTCTTCACACACTATCCAGCTTATTTGAACAATTTGGGGTACAATGAGACTGTGTAGTCCTTCATCATTTCTAGATACAATAAATATTTTAAACAGGCACAAGCCAAGATATAGCTGTGGGTAAAAATTTACGCGACAAGAATTCTCACATTCCTCGACTTCTCCTAATTTCAGTTGATGAAATGTCCAGGCGGAATGTATCTGCTGGTATGGAAATGAACAGGCCTTTCAGTTCCTCTGGTACGTCAAAATCCTCAAGTACCTAAGAGAGACCGCGAAAGGGTACAAGTTTATAAGACGAGTCATCACAATAACTCCAGGGTATGGAAAGGTTTTTTGAAATGTAATCTAACCTTGAAAACACCATCTACGTTTCGGCCAGCAACAAGGAAAACACATCCAGTGTTTTTGCACCCGATGAGTATCTCCAACATCTTTGCATAATCGTTCCCATAGTATTTCGGCTGAAAATCAGCAACTTCCAAACATTAAGGCAAAAGAAATTGCAAACTTTCACAGAAACACATTACTGCATGCAAAATTAAAATCCACAGACACCAGAATTTATTAGCATAACAAGATCACTATTCTATTTTGCGCGCGCGCGTGAGAGAGAGAGAGAGAGCTACTCCAGAAAGTTTGCCACTTATTAAAACATATTCCGCACCACAAGATAAGAAAAAATATATCTATCCTATTACCAAGAAGAGAGAGAGAGAGAGAGCTTATGATTGTAACCAGAAAAATGATAAACATAAGTAGAAAACCAAATTGAGGATAACAACTAGATATACTGGTAAGCATAAGAATCAGGTACACACTTGGAACCAAAATAAAAACTAAATTGAGGAAGGTAAATCAAAAGATAAAAGTAGAAAACCAAATTGAGGAAGTTAAATCAACCGGTAGATAAAAACTAGATATACTGGTAAGGATAAGACTCAGATACACAATTGGAACCAAAATAACAACTAAAGCTGCAATGATGACATACAACCTAAATAGTTGCTTGAAAAAAAAAAAAAAAGGTATTGAACTACATAAACTATTGAACACCCAAAATACAGTAAAGAAACCAGTAACGGAAAGGACAAGGCTACATAGTAAATTTCACAGACTCCTGCTATATATTAAAGGTCCTTACATCGATTAATCTCACTGCTGTATCTGCACCAATGACAAAAGCACTGCCAGGAAAGAACTCTGCTTTCTTGTAAAAATATGGCTGATTAGATACTATGACTGTTTTTCCTGAATGCACATATGAAAGCAATTAGCATCCATTTAATAAGTAATGTAAAAATATGGCAACGGTGTAGCCCAGTGATCCCTACAAAGAAAGTATTCTGACAAATTCCAAAACACTTGGAAAAGAAAATTTCCTTTTTGCACCCCCCCAACCTGGGTGGGGATTTCAGAAGCATTCAAATGACAAATCTACAAATACTAACAGAACAACTTTGGATCCATGTAACGGGAGAACCAAATTCAGCAAATCAATTTAAGATACTTTCAACCCTAACCAATTCCATGACAAAGCTAATGTTCCTTGTGCCTAAGCCTGGTGTAATCAAGCTATTATCCACTGCCATATTCCTGCATGCACATGCACACAGGCTTCAAATTTAGTCATAATGAAAACCACTATTCCAAGGTTCAATTATAGGGAGACACAAAAGGCTTTGACATCAACTACCAATTTCCATAATAAAAGTTTAATCTTCAGAAGGTGATTCATTTTAGAAGGAAAATTTGTCAGATGGTTTCAAATGCACACACAGCATTGATTCTGAACTTAAGTATAGAAACCAAACGATCCAGACTTACCAACTCTTTCAAACTGTTTGACACGTTCTTTGATTTGAGATACTGTCAAAGGAGGTTTATCAGCATTTATGGCGGACAATTCAAAGCACGGGTATCCATCCCCACATATGCTGCATATATAAAATAAATTATGTAAACATCAGAAACAATAGGACATAAACCTAATAGTGATACGGTTGCGCACGGAACTATCCTAAGACAATATCATCTCATTTATGTCTAAATGAACTGACAAAAACTGGAAGCACTTCATGCTGTTTCACGTGACATTGAACCTCCATCTAATGCTGTTCGTTTTATGACTGGACTTGCCTTCTGAAAAAGATCTTCTATAATGTAATCATATTACCATGAGTCACAATATTGGAACTGGACAGTTGCAAGAATAGACAGATTTACCTAATTGCAACATCCAAGAGCTTTAGGTGACCTTCATGTAAAGGATTAAAGGAACCAGATAGAATAATCTTCCGTTTCGTATTAGCAATATCTGCAAAATGTTTTACTTCACAACAGCGGTCTAGAAAGTAGATCACTTAGTGGAAATTATACAATTTGAAGATACAATGTAGATTCTCCACCCAATTTCACCAGCCACCAAAATGCAACCTCAACTGTTAGTAAATGTTTCAAACAGATGAGGCTTTTATAACCCAAGTGCAATGGGGAAATTGTGGTGGACAATCCACATTGCTAAGACTATTTCTAACAGTTCAAATCATACCACTTGAAAAGGGATAGACCTTAAAGCAAATCTGTCCATTTATAACTTGCTCTAATTCTTGATCTTCATCAAATTTGCTTTCATATTCATCAGGAACTTCAGATTCATTTAGCTCAGAAACATAGGTTGCCTCAACCTTGCAAGCCTTGGCAATTCCCTATAAGTACATCATAAAATTTTTCAATTACATAAAGTGACAGAGACTCAATTTTGACCAAATGAGAATTAATGAACCAATCAGTCAGGATAATTATGGAGTGTAAAGTTCTTGGAAAAACTGGACCAAAAATTTTAACAAAGTGTGGATATGAAAATTCCATTTCTAGGCAATTCTACTGAATGTACGCCAGCAGCACCTGAGGCCATGCCATGGATAAAACTGCTTTTAGGTCATAATATATATATCTATCAAGCACATCCACTGAGACTTGTGCAGAAGAAAATTTTGATTTGTATCAAAGTTCTCTTAACATGACTTTTTACACTCACTTCTTTGAAGCAATAAGATGAAATCACTAAGCACCTATAGGTAAACGGTGAAATGTAATCCTAGGCTATGTTTGGTTGTCCAACAGAAAAAAAAAACTGTCTCTATAGAAGTTTACTTTGCATATGATGCAATTCCAATTCTAATAAAGAACCAAAAGCAGCTTTAGAAAATACTTTCACACCCACAGTCAAGTCGTCCCATCAGATATGGCCCGTACTAGTAAATGGCATCTGATAAGACATTATTATACCAAATTTTCTGTAGTCAAGCATCTTCAACTTTTTAAAAAGCACTTTTATTGGTGCTAACAACTTAGATACTACTCAAATCACATTTCTAAAATATCAGACGACCAGCACCAACACCTCTTTCAGACCTTACTCAGCACATTACTCCTGAAAAATCACAAAAGAATTAAATGTGCAACTTTCAACTTAAAAAACTTTCACTCACCTTGAGTAAGAACTGGCTTGAGACTGTTTCTTCTTGCTCACGAGTGCGCAAACCCTAAATTATTCATTAGCCCAGTTGAATGTTTTGAGGAAGTTACCTCCCAGAAGGAAAAGCAAAGTTAATCTTGCAGTACCTTTGACAGAGTAACCGTTGATACCCAAAGCTGGTCAGATGTTCTAGTTGACAAGTGAAACCTATAAATGAGGCAAGGCCGGAGTTCAGGTTTCTAACCTATGCAAGACAAAAAAGTTCATTCTTCTAACAAAAAAGAAACTGCATCCTGTAAGATACCTATGATCTCCTAGTTTGGGGCGTGTGCTAGCTAGAGAACCAGTAAAACCGACTCCCAGAACAGGAGAACCTATTTAATCATTGAAACCAAGATGCATCACCAATATAACAAATGATTGATAATTCAAGAACAACGCTACGAATCAAGAAAAAGAAAACAAAATAGCCCCAGGTAGACCTGCAGACGCATCCAGGAAAGTCATCTAACTACTAAAGCCTTTCAGCACAACAAGGAAAAAACTGCCTGCATCATTAACATAAATTGGCAAGAATGACAACAACAGAATATATTACTAGAACTCCGTACGTAAAATTTGAGGGTAAGACTGTTCAAAAGTGAAGTTGGTTGGCCCATTATGACCAATGGAGCTTGAGCAATTGAGCTCGATTGACAGATACAACCTCCTATGTTCCTGGACTTTCCAGACCACCAGTGTCAGCATCTTGTCGCTTATTATATTATACAGAAACTTTAGAAATTTGAATATACCGAACGTAGAAAAAAAGAAAAAAAATACAAAATTCATTTCGGAAATAGAACCTGGTTTAGAAAGCTTTAAAGCTCTATTATAAGCCAAGAGTGCCATTTCCTCCGCCGTCTTGGCACTAGCGAATTGAGCTGGAACCTGTTCATTCACAACAAGTAATCAAATACTACCAAATACTTATAGAACTAAACTCTGAGAAATGGAGATGATAAAAGTAGATATTAAGTGGGATCATTATGAAATTGACCTTGCCGAGCAATTGAATCATGGACATTCCAGAATACGGAACTACGGCTTCCAGTACCGTATTTGATGCTCCGGGGACCGACAACAACAACCCTAACGCCTGCGAGGCGCCGCCGGCGATGTAGAGAACGGCCTGAGTAGGACAAGAGTGTATGGATCCTACGAGAGCTCGCATGGAGCCGTCCGTCATACTCGTCCAGACGATGTCGTTTTAGTATCGGAAGCCCAGATATGACGGGGAAGTTTGTTGACTGCTTGACCTCACTCACTAATTTCACAATCTTCACTCCGCGCGTGGGGAATTTGGGATGCCATTTTTACTTTATTTTATTTTTTGTACGTGGGGATGCCCATTTCTCACGCTACCCCTCGCCGTTTCTGTGTTGATTTGTTCAATGCGACGTCGTTGCCGGTGGTGTTTCTTGGGATTGGGCTTCTGACCCAGATGTTGGGTAATTGCTATTGGGCCTAGTATTTCAGGTTTGGATGCTCTCGCTATCTCTCTACGAAAAAAATTTCTTATATTAAAATAAAGTGGGAATAGATGTAAGATAAAATTTATCGTATTCAAAAAAAAAAAGAAAAATAAAATCCTTTAAAAAAAAAGTCTTATTTTGAAAAGTGAAATTTTGGGTTTGATATCAATAATTCTAATGATTGAAACATTTCTTGCCAACTCAACCTTTTTTTTTACTCAATATCATCTTTTTTTAGATGGATGGAGTCAAACTCTTGCTTGACTAAAATATGGTCAGTTTTCTAGAATGAAAATATGTTTTTTTAAAGAAAATAAAAATATGGTTTGATTCTTCTTTATTTCGATAGCGCACACAATGAATTTTGCCCCCTTGTGAATGTACCAGAACCACATACATTTCTTGGGTTCTACTCCCTTATGTGCCACGAAGATATATATATATATATATGTATGTTATATGTGTGATGTTGTCGTCGTCGTGGTCATCGTCAGTGCATTTCTGTTTACGTAGAGTAGATTTGCTAGCAAATGGAGTCATAGTTGGGGGGGGTTTCCGCGCGATGCGCGGACGATGGTGCCTGTGTATATATGTAAAGGTTGATTTTGTTAAGAAATTGAGGTGGAAAGTTTTGGATTACATTTAATAAGAATCAGGAAACATTTAATAAGAATGAGGAAATTCATGTTGTTAGAAGAGGTGTAGCTGAGATGAGTGAATTTGGGAAGGTAACAAAATTTGAGTGTTGGTTAATAGGATGACATTGTTATGATAGCAAAAGTATTTTATATCTATTGTTGGCGGATGTCAAAAGTTGGCAGTTAAGAACTTCAGTGGACATCAGTGAATCTGCAAAACATACATTGCAAAAACTATGGCTTAAGAGCCGGAGTTTAGATCCATTGAATCTGCAAAAGTGTGCTGGCTGGAAAAATGGTGAAGGAATTAGTGGCTATTAATTCTGTTAGGCCATGGCGTCTTTTTCCTTCACTTTTTCAGCAGTGGTCTTTTGTTTCTTGGTAGGGCTTTCTGTTATTTTCAGTGTAGCGAGGCGTTCTGCCTCAAGTTTGTTGTCATGATCTCCAGATGAATTTGTAGTGTTTTCAGTTGGTGCTGTTGTCGATTTAGCATGCATTGCTGCTGTTTCTGCTGCTGTTGAACTCTCTGCATCAGTATATATTGGTGGCAGTCCTCTGGCTTCAATTTCTCCCAAGTTCAGCTTGTGCGCTATAATGGCTGTATACTTTTCAGTGGAGGATGATGCAAATGATTTTTCGGTCTTTTTGACGAAGCAAACAATCATGGAGCTGTTAATGCTTTCCTCTATTGCTTTATAGTCAAGGGAACCCTGAAATAATGAAGTAGATTAATATGTTTTTTATAGTAACATGTATTTGAAACTGAGAAGCTATTAGTTGGTTGGTTTTGTATGTTATGAGAGTAATATATATTTCAACGTATTAATTAGTGGATGTGTTGCTTACTTGTTCCTCTTGGTCTTGAATTTCTGCTATAGTGAATGGCAGTAGTTGCTCGGCATCTTGTCCATATAGATCCAATGTCATTGAGCCAGAGCAGTTAGCAAAGTTAACAGTTAATCTACACCTGTTTCATAAGAGAAGCAAATTATTAATAAGCAGATGTATGTGAGCAGCAGTATAAATCGATACAAACTGACTATAAAGAGCATGCAACTCTAATGCTATAGCCACAACAGAGCATGTATAGAGGGTAATAACACAAGGCAAAGGGACTGTGGTGGTCCCTGTTCTACTGAGATTCAAGTTTCAAAGTTGAATAAAATTGTTGATGTAATGAACTGATTACCTTGGCTCGACTCTAATCTGTCTCTGGCATGAAGTGCAAATAATTAAGTGCTGTGGAGACATCCGAAGAGATTTATGGCATCCAGGACATGCATTATATCAGAGCTTTTGACTTTTATCTAGCAGAGTTGGTGTGCCTTGTAACCAACAGGATTTTTGCTGCAATTTTGATATATATGTTTTTAGACTTCTAATTAGAGCAGCAAGATAAAGATTTGAGTACTGTGATGAAGATTAGATAGGTAATGTGATTGTGGTACCAGGGGCAAGTTCAAGAAGTCTCTTATTGATGTGAGCTCTTCAATAGGTGGCATTGGCAAGAGGACGGCACGATTCTCATAAGTTTTTTCAAGCAACATCTGTTCAATTTTTGCACGGTTGTCTTGAATCCTGGAATTAAAACTGGAGTAGTAAGTATAACAAGTATGATGACTATTAATGGGTGCATAATAATAGCAGAATTTAAAATGGAGTAGTAAGTATAACAAGTACCATGACTTTATTGTTGCTGCTTGTTCAATTGGAGGATTAATGAGAATCGCACTTCCTGGCTTTGTGCTGAGGTTCACAGCTGCAAATGAAAGACAGTAATTAAAGGGTACATATTATTGTGTAAATTTTGAATTCCAAGTAAGTGAGGTGATCGATAGTGTCGATTCTTACTATGATAAGAGGAAACCTTAACTTTCAATGCTGCAATAATTGGCTGTGAATCAATGATATCTGCAATAGCCTGTCCTTCATTTAGCTCGTAAGCTCCCCATAAAGTTAGGATCGTTGGTATGCAGCTATATAGAGGTTATGGTTATTACATGCATTCATACTTATGATTAGTTCTGCAATAATGATGCGATTTTGCATGCATTTTGAAAGTATTACCCTTGATCGATCACAATTATGTTTCTCAGAGGTGTGGTTCCTCTGTTATTTCTTGGTTGCACTTGAATAGCAGCTGCCAGGACATCTATTTTTTTGTGAAAGAAAGGAAATTCTGCGTGTCAGTCTCTGTGAACAGTAAAATGTTTCACTATTGTAGAAATGCAGTACGATTTACCTATTTCAGATTGGATATCTATGTACTGACGAAACTTTTTGAAATCAGTGAAGTTAAGCACTGGAGTAATCATTAGTGAATCGGTATCAGTCACAAGCTGAACAACTGTTGAATTGTCTATGATCCAGTTGCATTCCTTTTCAGTTGAACGGTAGTCTGCTGAGGCAAACTTCACTTTTGCATTTGAGACGAGGTATTTGTTATATAACTGAAATAAAGCTCTAAAGAACTCAATGTCTGAGTTATAGATAAGAGCTTCAAGCTTTGTTCCCTGTCGTTGAGAGTTGAATGAGGTGAATTAAAGATGTATTAGTACTGAAGTTTTCACGTTGTAAGTATTCGAATATGGTATTACCTGATCATCCATGAGGAGCAACTTTTGATATCTGTTGCCAGCTTTCGACACCTGAATCCTATGCTTCTGAATGACTTGAACTTTACAGGTCCAGTCTTTCATGCCAGGAAGTATTTTATTAATTGCAGTGAAGTTTGTTCCCATCTGTGAAAGTGATATGAATATATATTGCACAGTGTAAGAAATAACTGAAAGACTTGCATGCATCATGAATACTATATTTTCTGCATTGATGATCAGACTGTATGGAAAAGCAGCTACTCATATAAGATATCATGCTAATGCTAATTCTAGGATTTCTGTATAAACAACATTTTCTGTCGAATCATCTGTATTTGTATCAAAAACTGATGGTCTTATGAGTATTTTCACAGCTTTATTGTTTTTAGCTCTTGAGATTGCTACATATATCTGTCCATGTGAGAACACAGGCTCACGTAAATAAATACCAACAAAATCTAATGTTTGACCTTGAGATTTATTTATAGTCATTGCAAAGCATAATCTAACAGGGAACTGATGACGCTCAAAAGAAATAGGGCAATCAGGGTCATTCTCAACTCGAAAAGAGAGATTCTATGCAGAAAGACTTCTTTGCCTATATGTTCGCCTGTGCTAATGATGGCATGTATAATATTAGGCTTTAAAGATTTACATATAAGTCTTGTGCCATTGCAAAGACCTCCTGGAGGATCTATATTTCTAAGCAGAATGATTGGTGAGTTTGGTTTCAAAGTTAATTTATAAGGCGGGAATCCAGTAGGAGTCAAGCTGTTAAAGAAATCTTCGAACATTGTTTGTTCACTAATTCAGGTGCTTTGTCTCTGCTGATATATTGACAAGCATGTCCTGGAAACGTCTCTGTTAGTGTTTCATTCAGCTCGTCGATGAAGTCATTTCTTCTTGTTAGTAAAGTCCTGTTCACTAGAGAAAAGTAATGAACAGTGAAGGCATTTAGGTCAGGAAACACATTTAATTAAAGCACTAACAGATTCTTCTTCAGTCTTGTATGGTAGAAGTAAAGGTCGTGGAATTCTGATGTTGTTCTTATCAATGCAAGGTTCAGCTCCATTACCAATGCGTCGCAGATAACTGGTAAAGTCAGGATCTGATATCGCCCTCATGTTTTTGTGTGAGCCGTAACTTTTGCAAGTGTGGCCGAATGTAGGAATTTACAATGCTTGCCTGAATAAAGTCTGCTTTTGATCCTTTTGTTACCACTGGAAGTACTTGTCTGAAGTCACCTCCTAATACTATAACCTTCGATCCAAAGAGCTCTGTTGAACTCATAATGTCCTTGAACATCTTGTCTACTCCTTCAATAGCAGTTTTGTGTGTCATTGGTGCTTCATCCCAGATGATTAATTTTGCTTGTCGCAGGAGGTCAGCAAGTGCAATTTGTTTGCTGATTTTGCACATATTTTCAGCACTTAAATCGATAGGTACTTTGAATCTTGAATGTGCTGTCCTTCCTCTAGGTAAAATCAAGGCAGCCACTCCACAAGAAGCTGTAGCAAGCACTATAAAGCCTTTTGATCTTACATCAGCGAGTAAAGCTTTATATAAAAATGTTTTTTGGGTGCCACCAGGTCCATCTAGGAAAAAGCAGCCTCGTTTATTGACGTAGGCAGCTTCAAGTATGGTATTGAATGCAGTTCTTTGGTCAGTATTAAGTTGAGAAACTGAAGCTGAATCAATTTCTGAGACTGTAATGTTCAATTCACTAAGAGTATCTCTGGTATCTTTTGTCAGGCCATCAAACTTGAGTATTCTGGGCACTAATGCATAGGAGTTGATGTTCTTACCCATTGATTCTAAGGAAATTGTTGATTTGTTGTAACACTTTTGCTTCAATTTCCTTGTCCGTTAAGTTCCCTGCTCTCTGATAATCTTCTGACATATATTGTTGAAATTTTAGCCATAAATGCCTTGCATTTTCTGGAGGCGAGAAAACTAAGAGTGGCAAATAGACGTCTTAAAAGTATATGGCATGTGGTATACTGCAGCCTCTTGTAAGCATTGTTCCTGACTGTTGTCTGACTGAAAATAGCCTCGAAGAACTGCAGCTTCTTTGAAAGTATCAACTAAGACGCCATTAACAGTTTTCAAGTCGTTAAATGAAGTCGGCCCTCTGACATTCAGCAGCAATAAACGGAGACAGTAACGTTCGCCTTCAATTGGATTAACTGTGACTAATCTTCCAATTGTGTCTTTCTGTTTTCGAGGTGACCATGCTTTTGATCCAGGATACCAAAAAAAATGTTCAGGGAATTCTTTATAAGTGCACTTCAGGCTCTTGGCTAAATCATGAGTTGAATTCGTGCGAAAAAATTCAGTAAGCATGGTTCTCTTCGCAAAAGGATTACTTAAAAGCTCATGTAAATCTTGATCTTCTGTGAAGCTCATCGATTGGAAGTTCTCTAAGTGAACTTATAAATGAATGACTGATGGATGCATTTCACTTAGAGGAAGAAGATAGATACGCCACATTGCTTCAACAGCACAAACCCATCTGCCTGTCTGGTAATCTTTGATTTCATCCACCGGATCAGACACTGAAGGAGTGGCTGAAGTAGTTGAGCTAGCAGATACTGATGGAGCAGAAGAGGCAGCAGCACGATCAGCATTAATGCAAAAGTGAATTCTGTCATGACCCTTATGTATGTATTTATAAATGTATTTGACAGCTTTAACACTTGAACAAAGTTCAACGTTAATGCGACAATCAAATTTGGCCAATAGGTATGGGTTGTAAGGTACAACACATCTATTGTCTAGCTGGTGATCTCGAATGATAACTTTTCGACCATTCTTCCTTCTCTTGTATGTAGGTTACGAACTATCTCCATGCGATGTTTTTTCAGCCCACCGTTTAGGATAATTCTTATTGCACTTTCTGACTGGTGAACCATCCCTGCAGACATTATTGGGATTTTTATGGCCACAAGGTCCGTGCATCATGTGCTTTCTCACCATATTGAATGGTGGTCTGTTTTGATTTTCGTCAGGAATCTCAGCAGAAAAAATCTTGTCATGTGCCTCAGTGGTGTACAACTTTGATGCTGGTTGAAGGATGATAAGCATATGTACATGTGGCAGGCCTCGTTTCTGAAACTTGATAACATAGGTGTAAGCAGCAACAGCTCCAAAAATTTGCTTTTTGAATAATTCATCTTTCAGAACTTGGAAGCTTTGAATGAAATACTCGAGATAGAAGATCTGGTCTGTTATGAGCTTCATCAGTGGATAACATATGTTAGTTTTATCTCTAGCCATGAAGGATTGCAGGTCATGGTAATGAATATATCAGGCCGGCCAAATTTCTGAACAAGAACCATTGAATCAGCATATCTTCTGAACAAGAACCAAGAAACATATTCATTTGAGCAGTCAAATGGTCTGGAAGCTGGCCATTAAAAATAAAAAGTGAACTGATATATGAGTAGCAGTAAGGGTAAAGCATTTCAATCTATAAAGTAAAGATACTAATTCATGTAGTTCATAATGCAAATATGTAATTTTGCTAACCTTGTTCTTCCATATTAATCATTTCATCAGCAGATTTGCATTCTTTCTTTCTTTTCTTCTGCATTTTTTGGGATTTTGTCTTTCAGATCTTTTAATGCCTGGATGCCATCCTGTTTCTCCAAATGCAAACAGCAATGGGTACTGCAATGCGTCATAACATCCGTAGTAATATTGCACTCGTCGTGGCTGTCCATCTTTAGTGTAAACTTGAATGTGTCTAGCATATCCACTATTTGATTCGTCTCCTTCAACCCACAAAGCGGCAACTTGAGATACACTAGGCTCATTGAAGACTCTTTGATCGCTGTCGCAGTGTGTCTTTAGAACAATCTGACAGGAATCTAAGTTAGGAACATTTCTGAGGCTACGAAAGAAGCATGCATAAGGATTAGCCTTCATCATATCCATAATTTTAACAACAATACTCTCAGTAAGCTTTTCAGAAACTGCAAGCCTGTTGCGAAGCTCATGATCTGTATCATGGAAATATAGCTGTAAGTACATTCAGGAACCACCGTGTGGCATCAAGTCGTTAAAAAAATGATACGTTTGTCCTTGCAGTTTGAAAGTGTATATTCCATTAGTCCTTTTGCAGAGTTCCTTGTCATAGTGGACACCAAACGAAGCTAAAAGCAAACAAGCAGTTGTATGTTCTGACATGTGTTCGAAAGTACACTGCTTCTTCAGTGTGTCCAGTGTAGAGTTCAATAAGGACATCAGGTAGCCCATTTTGATGCAATACATCATCTCCATCAGAGCACCAAAAGCTTGCAGTTTCAGAATAAAACTTCTTGGCTCCGCAATACCTGCAGTCAGCCTGTGATGGCAAAGTATCAGAAGCAGTAGGTATGAATTCTAAAGCTTCTGTTCCAATGAATGCATGTTTCCCTACAAATTAAACATAAAATATCAGCATAGATAAAATTGCCATTAAATTCATTTACTGACAATAAATTTAATAAAGCCTTACTAAGAAGGCTAGTAAAGCTAGAACAACCTTTTCTTCCTGCAGCCTTTCTGCTTCTCGAATTATGAGGCCGGCTATGTTCACCAGTATTTGCTACAAAGTAATTGGCAAAGTAAGTGCACATATATTGTTAACGAAGAAAACTTTGGTACTGCAAAAGCTTAGTAATACCTGTTGGCTGATGATTCACATGACCTGAAGAGTGTTTCGCAACATGATTGTCACAAAACAAAGCTTGGCAGTCCTGATAAAAAGCAAATGCTTGGTTACATTTGAATATCTGCATCACTATAGGATAAAGTGGAAACATCACTGAAGGCATTATAAAGCATGAGAAAATTACCTGATACATGCTGTAAAGATTCATAAAGATACTTATAACGCTCGCTGCAGATTGGAGGCTCACCTGTAATAGGAGAAAGACAGCAAAGCATACTGTTAGTCGTGATGGCAGCTAACACTGCTATCTAAACTATTGCATAAATTGAGTGAAGACAAACCAGGAGTTACTGAAGCAGCAGATCGTGTACATCTTTGAGAAGTTGATTTCTTTGACTTTGATCCTTATACAGGTACAAAACACATTAAATTAAAAGTAATATAAAGTGTGATTTATTATACAACGGAAAATAATACCAAGAAAAATGCAATCATTGGATACCTGTGTGATAAGTGGAGAATTCTGAGATATATTGTTTTTCAATTTCTCATGACTTTGAGAATTGTCTGGTTGTCCAATGGGCAATGGCCGTAGCACGCAAGAGCTGACCACCTCATTTAGTTGATCAGGAGCACCAACAGAAACCAAGTTCGTCTGTTTTCTTCTATGATAAGCCTCTCTTTTGTTTTGCACGTCGAATTTCTTTTTCTTCAGCAGAGAGAGAGCATAGCATACCTATTTCTTGCTTGTTCATTCTGCCTAAGTTTCCTAGCCTTTCTATTTTCAACATCTTCTTCACTTATGCTTAGTCTAGATAGGCTCATAGGTAAGTTTGATGCATAAAATGACAATAAGCCAACCAAAAAGCAGAAAACAAAATGAAAGGCGAGCATTAACTTGGAGTCTGCACCTACTGATGAACATGAAAAATAACCATGCAAACGCAATATGCAACAATAAAAGTGAAAAAGGACTGAAATACTCACTGAGGTAACCAAAAACAGCAGGTAAGCAAACGTTCCGCTGCTATGAAAGAAACACAAAAAAGAAATAAGAGCATATTCCAACTGGTATATGCTAAGCAGGCCTCCAAAAGTAAAACATACTCCTTCGATCAAACAAATAGCATTTTTGGTTTGCAACTAACTATTACTATGGGCAAAAAACCTGTTAACTTCATTCATACGAAGATTTCATAAGAAATGCAAGCAAATGCTATAGCTCATAAGCACAAAAGTGCGAACAGAAACTAATGCAATATGAATGACAAAGCAAGAAAGACTTGAGAGATGCATGAAAGCAAACGATCCAAGGGGAAATGAACATTTGAAATAAAGTGCAAATTGAATGATACCGGCAATGGAAGCACTGAGAAACCAGAGGAGCAAAACACAGGCTGAAGCTGAAAGCTAAAAGCAGTGCATAACAGCATACAAAATAGAGCGGTGCATGTTGAAGATGAAAGTTGTAGTACACGGCCTTCCAATAATTAGTTCTGCTTAATTTAGTGTGGAATTACTATAATGCACATTGTTATCATAACATTATCCATATAACAACCAAGATGCTTGTCCACGTGAGTAATTTCACAACCCGCTAAAGTTGTAAGTGCTGAACCTTGGTCAAATCCATACAAAATGGCTATAAAGAGCATGCAATTCTAAGGCTGCAGCCACAACAAAGCATCTACAAAAGGTAATAACGTAAATAAACAAATGCACTAACAATTCCAAATGGATAGTGGGATCAAACAGTACTATATATGTATAGTACAAGAGTAAGGAGAAAGCAACATACAAGAGCTTGAAGTACAAAGAGTGAAATGAGAACAAGGCTTCTTATACATGGATATAATACATATATATATCTATACACACACACATAGAAGTGCAAGTGCTTCTTATATATAGTTAGGATTAGGATGTAAAGCTTCATCTTTTGTAAACTTAGTTAAGAGAGAGTAAAAAGGTTTAAAAAAAGGGGGGAAATTCCCTCTTGTTCTTAGGTCATAAATCTTTTTGTGAGTCATAATCCACAAGCAAATGGAGTCAAAACCATAGGAGTAATATGTAAAGCTTCATCTTTTGAAAACTTTAGTTAAGAAAGAGTAAAAAGGTTAAAAAAAAAAAAAGGAGGGGGGGAATTCCCTCTTGTTCTTAGGTCATAAATCTTTTTGCTTCCGAGAAACTCAAACTAAAAACAGTACGATCAGGTTTCCAAAGTCCAAGTCCAGATTCGTTATTTACGGGAGTTTTGTCTGGTCCAAATGTCTGTGTCGATATACTTTGATAGTTGGACATTTTTTGCTTTTGCCTGGTGATTTCTTCGGCGGAGTTGAGCAATCTTCAACACTTTTTTTAAAAGAGTGTAGACCGCCTCCAATCACGCTTGTCTGAAAAGGATTAATTCAAGTCGTCTTCTGGGCTCTGTTAGTTGTTTGGTTTACCTTTCCAGATTCCACCATATTTATCTGCCGATGTGTTGATTATTTCACAGCCAAAAAAATATATATATAGTTGGTACTCTTCAGTGTAAGAATTGTAGCACTTTAGTAAATTAATTTAGTTACCATATTGTAAAGGAAATTAATTTGGTGATGTTGATCAAGTGGCTTGAATCTTTCTGACAAACGAAAAGAAAATTATCGGTTTCAAAAAAAAATGATGAATTAATTTTTTTTTTATATACTGACAATGTATACACGATCAATACTTAGATGAATAATAACTATACAAATTTTGAATTTAAAAT